CGAAACGTCAGGAAGAAATTCCCATAGACCACGGCTTCAAAGCCCGGAAAACATTCCTAAATGTGATTTAACCGGCCGTGAAAGCCTTCATAGTCGGATGATATTTGCGTTTAGAAAATGAAAGTAATATTTTTGAATATTTGATATAAATTTCTTAAGTTATTGCTTGCATTTTTTGTTTTTTAATAAATATTTAAGATTTTTTGTCCCGTTAATCTCAATATATATCCTACAATGTAAGTACCAACCTTGAAAGTACAGGTCCGTGTTTACAATTTGTCGAAGATTTATTAAAAGCCGATCAAAATATAACTAAATTTCAATATGTTATACATAATTGAAATAAGAGGCTTGTAGAATTTGTAAACAAAAAACAGGACGCATTTAAACAAAATGAACTTGATGAAGGTTTCTTAAAAACGAAACGTCGATGCAAAAAACTGATAAGGGGATAAGTATTAACACTGACATAGAGTTGTCATAAGAAAGTGTAGGTGAGTTTGCTCGAGCTGTAATATCAACGCCAGAAAAAAAATAATATGAATATTAGAAAAACATTTTTTTTCCAAATGTCAGTAACGAAAATTCGCATAAAAGGTCTGAAAGAGCCATTTTATTAATATATTAATTAACCAAGTTTTTTTTCGTTTAACCAACTTCGAATCATTTACGGTTTCCGATATCCCCATAGTGGCCTTAACACGGTAGGTATATAAGATGAGCATATTCTGAACTTGAGGGACACCAAAGTTGGTCATGTTTGAACACACACATGCACTCACAAACACACACACTTTGGATTGTAGATGGAAGCTATATCTTCCAAAGCATTTTTTACCTTACCCTGTTCCAGATGCTCCAACATTTCTTCATGGTCTTCCAGAAATATCCTGCTAAAGACTTTAACAAGCTGCCTGCTCTGTAGATTGTAGATCCGTTTAACACTGGCTGGAAGCAGAAGTCTGCACCACACTTCTACATCCCCTTTGAATCCTTCACCACTGGTACCTTTCTCAAAAAAGTTTTTTATAATTCTAGTTTTGTCTAAATAGCTCGGATGATTCGCGACTTCCTTGACAATTTTTTGAAAAGTTTTAAATAAATCATCTGTTGTTGAATCACTCACAACATTAACGCCACTTAATACTGACTTACTAGAGGCTGCCTTCGAGGAAGCCTGTGTAACCTTTTTTGAATGCGTTTTTTTGGGCACTCCGAAAAATTGATTTAGCTGCTGTATCTGGTCTCGAATGGAATTCTGCTCATCAGAGGAGATGGCATTGAATCCAATGATGTCATCTTCATTTTCTATGCGCTTTGTAGTAGACCTCTGCTTCTTGAAAATTTCGAAAAGGCAATTTATGTGGTGCCAATTTTTCATCTTTCCCTCGCCAAAGGGGTTTGCAGTTATTTTGGCAATTCTCAAGACACCTTGCAGGCATTTCTGTTTGCACTTCTTGCAGCCGGCTCTACCATTTTTCGCCAATTCAAGTTCAAATATTCTTTCTTCTTGTTCATTATCAGACATTTTTCGTGAGATATCTGCAAAACAACTAAGTGAAATATGAAGCCTAAACTGGCTTAAAAATAATTTTAATTGTGCTGCGAGCTCGGAATATTTCATAGGTTAGAATCCAAGTCTAGTTGCTTGTTTTCATCAGCTGATGGCCGGATAGCAGTAGCCCCAACATTTACGTGGGCGCCAAACCCCACAGCTCTCTGACCACAGATTATCAAACTATTTAGTTTTCGCTTTCAGTGACGCGGCCTGGTGATTAAACCGCCAAATTCAAATGTTATTCAAGTTGAAAATGCCATAAAATTAGTTTTTTTATGGCACCTACTATTTTTGTTGGTACCTGTGAGATTTTCAAACAGAACCAAAAAGTTAGCACGTGCCATTTAAACCAACTGATTTTTTGACATTTTATATCAATTTTAAGCACCCAAATGATACTAAATGGGTACATTCAAGCCATCTGGGCCTTGGGCTTTCAGCTAACTACTTACCAAATTTGGGTAAAACAGCTTTGTAAACGCCTACATAGCTGATAAAAATATGACTATTGTTCTCAAAATAATTTTATGACAAATTCAGATGGTACAGCATTACACTTTAAATTTGTGCGATTATTTACCATGACAAACTTGGACTTTTAAGTGAAATATATATCGCACACCCTAAACCACCCACCTGTCGCTGATCCCTGTCGCTCACATCAATTAAAGCATTTCTATTAAGTATCTGGCTACCCTTTTGTCTTATCTGCGAAACAAAAGTTTTCTAGCAAAAGGCGCATGTTTCAAATAAATAGTCAACACTACCCACATGCTTTACATCAACTAGCATCAACATCATTAACATCAAATTCTCGAAGTAGGTGTAACATTTCAGTTTCTTCTTGTCCATGCTCTAAGTCAATCGCTTTGACTTTACTATCAGTATTTCGTTCTTAATTTGTCATTACGTTTGATGTAAAATCTTTAATTATATCAGTAGTAGGATGAAAATTCTAACAGCATATATTATGTGCATAGAAATGCATCTTTATCCTTAAAGACGAATTAAAAAAAAAATGTTTTTACCAATTTTACAATTTTTATAAACTTTTTTATTTTATAACTTTTATAAAATTTGTATAAACATATTTTTTGGCTGGTATATCTCGATTATTCGATTATCTAAAATCATATATGCTTTATTTTCCTGAAGGGTTTAAGTATAAGGTTCTAATGCTTATGATTTAAGCTTCAGCTTTCAGATACTAGCGTTTAGATCTTTAAGCTTATACTGCCATTTTTTTAACAGGCTAATAGAAAGCTCCAAAATCGCAAAACCACGAGAAATCGACAAAAAATTGCCAATCGCCAATTCAAAAAACATTGTCGCCAACAAAAGCAAAAAATCGCGCAATTTGACACGCGCTGTCTCAAATCTTCAGAATTCTCAATGCCAGCGCCACTGGTGGCGTACAATACCGTACAAAAATAACAAAAATACCAAAATACCGTACGCCAATTGTACGTGTTCGGGACCTCCACCGTACAATTGACCAAATTACAGTACATGTACGGTAATTACCGTATGGACGGCCACCCTGCGTTTCATCGACACGCGCTGTCGCCAAATCTCCAAAATGCTCGATGCCAGCGCTACTGGTGTCCCGGGCACGCGTAACATGGAACTCAGAAATGCTGAGGTTGAGCAGCCCTGAATACGCCCCACAATCAAAAAAGTGATGATCATAAAAAAAATCATGTAAAGGGAAGGCTTGGTTGAAGAAAGCTAGTAGAATAACTCAAATACAAAGTACAAGTAATAAATAAGAACATTCAAACGAATACTGAAATATTGAAATTCATTTCAATATACTACTTCTTCAAGTAGCACATTGTAAATTTTGAATCCGCGCGCCATTCACCGGGGTCAGAGCTGTCCGGCTCGGCGCCCACCTAAATGTTGGCCCTATCACTAGACGCAAGTGAAAAATTGCATTTGCAGTGTTGTCACAGTTAAGTGGTATTCGATTTTTCCATGGAAAGTAAAGTGATTTATGTTTTATGGATGATGGTTAGCTTAAGTTTGCGGTGAAATCAACTTGTTATATTATATTTAGGGCAAACGTGTCACACATAAATTATTATTTGTATTGGTTGTGATTTGAGATAAAATGATTTTCAAATTAACGGCATAGCTATCTCTGTCTAGCTGGCATTTAATGAGCTTAATGGAACAGAGAAAGTGATAATACGACAGGATACAACTTATTTTCTTTGCTGCAAAATGTTCTGAATAATCCACAGAATTTCTTTCTTCAAGCTATTTTGTTGTTATTTTGCTTTTGTCGATAATTTTTAGTTATATTTTGATTTTTTAAGAATATGTAAATAATATAATATATTTTAACTTGGATTCCTATGGGTCGTTAGATTGCTAGCTTTCAAAGCTAATTTTATCTTTTAAAGAAGTTCTGAAAACACTGTTGTTTTACCATGGCATACTAAAAATTTAAAGAATTCCAAATATTTGACACTTGATGCCATCTTCTGGAGAATGTGATAGAAAAGGTTATTAGCAATAGTGCGTAATGTGGAATTTAGATTGTAGTGCTAGACGTTAATTATTATTGGATTTTCAGTTCTCCAGATAGTGCCTGATTAGATGTTCGACCTTATACAATTAATTACCATTATCCGATTCGTAAGTACGGCATGAAACTATTTGATAGCAAAAGTGGGCTTGGTGATGCAAATTGCCAGTCTCTGTTGAAATAGTTATATAGTTTTCTACTTACAATATTCCTTGAGCGATAGAAAAGCTTTTCTCAATTCTATAAACAAGATTTTGCAACATTTACACCACTCGTTTTCAGTCGAAAGCAACAAATGCAGAGTTGCAAGCAAAAGCAGTGATGCAAAAGTAACAAAAACAAATGAAGCAAACAGTAATCAAGATTATCAAGATCACATCATGAGTCAAGCCATTAAATAATGGCTTGCTGATATTTAATGCTCTTGTGCTCTTGATAATCTTGATTACTGTTTGCTTCATTTGACTTCAAGACTATTTAGTCAGATAAACAATAGATATACATAGGTAGATATGCAACACTTGGAAAACATTGGAAACAGTAGATATATGCTCGAAATCTAATTGTCGCCCATAATGTTTGTTTGCTGAGTTTTCATTCCCCTTGCATCTAAGTGCAATTTTATCACAATCAGATAATTATTTGATTTTTTTATGGTAAATAGATATTAAATGACATCTTAATTAAAGCACCTGTTTGGTAAACAAAATTTAAGTCCTGACCTAAAGTCACGCCATAGAACAATATTGTGGATCCACACGGTGGTCAGTATCAAATAATCGACCGATAATCTCTTTCAATTGTTTTTAGTTTTAAAGATCATTTTGCAGATTTGCGTTTACAAATAAAATCGCTCGCCATGAATGAAGAGGTTGCCTTGACGGAATACAGGCAATGGATATATCAGTTCAGGATAACATTTTCGATAATGCAGCAACCATAGAGAAAGTAAAATAATTTTACTTACTCTATGGCAGCAACACAACCGAGGTGTACTCTATCTCCGAGTTAACGTATGCGTTTCCGACCCAGTTATCCATCAGACGTTAAAAAGGAAAAAAATATAGGATGCATAAAGTGAGATGCCCTTATACGAATAGTCTATTAGTTAGAGAGAGAGTTAACATTAAACCATCGAAGCTTCGAAAACATATGCACCGCCACCACATGTGCACGTTTTGGCCATTTGGGCCACCTACTACCCTACCTGTTTTTGTTTATGATTTGCATTCACTTTCAATTTCGTTCGTTATTGTTCTTGACCTATCTTCTCAAACACTTTCAATGGAGCATGTAAAGAAGAAGAAAAAAAACAACCCGCAAGCAATTTGAAAAGTTAGTAGAGTTTGTGGACGAAAATAAAGTTTATTTTCAAGACCATTTACTAATTGTTCTAATAAAGCTAACCTTATGAGACCACCAAAAGACATATTTTTATTTTAAATTAAAAACTAATTATAACTAAACCACAAAATTACGCTCTGATTAAACACAATTGTTTTATGTATTCCTCCGAGCTTAACTTCGATGGACGCACGTAGTTTGATAGCGGCATGTGATTTGATGCTGTTATTCTGAAGCGCTATTTCTTAATATAACGTTCGTCGATAGCGTGCGCCTGTTATAATATAAAGGTTTTACTGATACAGCACACCAGTTGGAGCCACATAACGTGTGTGACGGACAACATGCACCTTAAAGTTAACGTGAGTGATACAGCCCAGGGCTGAATATACAAGAGAACCAGGAACACGTAACATTTGAGCATCCGAGTTCTGAGGTAGAGGCTCAGGTCGCGATTATAGAGCAACTGTTTAATCTTCACAAAGGATACATGGTCCTTTTCCTAACCTTCGCCTTCCACATTGAGATTGCTTACGCTATTAGCTTATTTGGTGCTTTAGTTTTGGTGACAATCATGAATTTGGTCTGTTTAACATTGCGTGTCAGACCATATTCTTCATTAGCCGTGACAATGTTATTCAGCACATTTTGAAGGTCTTGCATGTTTTCGGCGAAAAGTACTGTATTTTCGTGTCACGCAAGGTGTTCAGTGGGATGCTATATACGTATTCCACCGTCTTTTCTTTTGAGGGCTTTAGTGAAGCTTCTGAATAGATGTTGAAGAGGAGCGGAGAGAGAATACTCCCCTGTCTGAGCCCTCACCTGATTTCAACGGCTTTCGTTAGTTCGGATTTGACGTAAACGGACGAACTTTGATTTAGGTACAGTTTTACTCTAATCTGTATATCTCTTGTGTCGAGATTTTTTCGTTCAAGTTCTTCTATTAGAAGTTTGTGTCTCACTTTATCAAATGCTTTATTATAATCTATAAAGCAGGGTTACACCTTTCGGTTGACCTCCAGACTCGAGGAGTGCTAAACGGTTATTTTTCTGAAATAGGTTAAAACGTTGTAGTTTTACCTTGATATTAGGTTCCAATATGCGGTTCCAAAAGTAACATGTTACTTTTTAAATTTTTTATTAAAAATTTGCAATGATGATGAAATAGTTATGATAAATAATGCTTTAGTTGAACTAAAAAAAAATTCTTAGCATTGGTAAACTAAAAATAATATATTCTAAAAACTAAAACAAAACATGAGTCATAATTAACTACTTAAAAAAAACTGATAATAAAATCGAATCATTTAAATAAAATATACGCTTAGCATGCGAAAGTGTTTAAAAAACTAATTTTTATTTAAAAATGAATTAACATTTAAAAATAATTTTTCTAGTTCTTCTAGTCTACTATTTCTTTTTTTCCTGTTCTTCGCTCGTTTATGATAGCACCCGCTTTGGAAAATAATCTCTTGCATGGAACAGAAGTACTAATATACCTGTGTTTTTTTGTTATGAAATAAGTTTGTCCAAATCTTGAAAAATTGAAAACTCTTCTTGTCTATCTTTTAACTGAACTTGCTCTGATTTATGGGGCATCACAGTTTTTGTAATAGCATTTGAATTATTTACGCGTGTTATTAAGTCAACAATTTTCATACATTTCATACTTATAGATTGCAATTCTGAATTATATCGTCGCCGAAACTAAACAATGTTTTGCTGATCTGACCGATTATGGTTTATGGAAAACTGAACATTAATTCTTATAGGCGAAAGGTGATAAACACGCAATCGTCAACGCAATGCGTAAGTAAAAATATTTCCGGTTGACAAATGGTTACTGAAACTGCTGCAACCGGATAGATTGTAGAGGTGTGATAAACAGTTATTTTTCTGTAACAGGTTACAACGTTGCAGTTTTACGTTGATAATAGGATTAAAAAAACGGGGATTTATCTCAAGAAACTTAGCTCGCGAGTTAGGTATATGCCCATTACCAGCAAACTAAGCAGAATGTGCACTAGCATATGAGCTATGAGCAAACTAAGAGTCTATAATATAAATTCCATCACAATTGAAATGTAAAATAACAAACGTTTTAAGCAGAATGTGCACCTGCATTTAAGCAAGCTGGCCATTTTTAAATATAAATTCAGTCAGAGATGAAATGAAAGTTATTTGAATAATAATAAACGTTGCAATGTCGACATATTTTTTTAAAATTATTTTTTGGTGGTACCAAAATTAAATCGAGTAATACTTCGTCCAGGATTGCCAAACACGCATTTCTGTTTCTTGTTATTGTGGATTATTTAATGTTATTGTGAAACGAAATGTGAGAGGTTATTTTCTTAAGCGGGTGCTATCCTAAACGGGCGAAGAACTAGAATGAGTAAAAAGCATCTGCAAAAAATGTATTCTTAAATGTTAATTCATTTTTAAAAGAAAATGATATTTTTTAACATTTTCGCATATAAACCGTATATTTTATTTAATCACTCTAGCTTTATTATTATCAGTTTTTTGTTCTTTAAGTAGTTACCTCGGACCTATGTTTTGTTTTTGATTTTAGAATATTTTATTTTAAGTTTACCAATGTGAAGAATTATGTTTTTAATAAAGGAAATCATTATATATCATCACTATTTCTACTATCATCATCATTCTGCATTTTTTTTCAGCAAAATTTAAAAAGTATCATGCTCCTTTTGGACCCGCATTTTGAGACCTATTACCAAAGTGAAACTGGAACGTTGTAACCCGTTACAGAAAAATAACGGTTTATCACACCTCTAATCCCTAGTCTACACTACCTTAAATGTTGAGCGATTGCTTAATTTTTTTTAATAATCAATTATGAGGTATTTGCCCATACTTTACCTTACTCCATTAGATTTTTATTTCTGCGCTACTAAACTAATATACTGCGATATATCAAGTATAAGGTTTACAAAGTAAGGCCTCAAATTCGAGATGAACTATGTGAGCGAATAAGACAAGCCTGCGGTGAAAAAAAGCTGAACTTATGAGAGTTGGCAATAACAATCGCAAACGCATTGGAAAGTGCATCAGGCTTGAAGGTGGACTAGTTGAAGCAGATTCGATAATACTAGTTTTTCGCTTCAATTTTTCGATCTTTTTTTATTTTGTTCAATTAATCATGTATTGTTGCATTTTTGGTTGCTTTAGTGAAAACTTCGAACTTACGCGTGAAAAATTAACAAAAAACGGCATAATTTGATTTGTGACTTCAAACTCGGTATTAACGGTTAAAATAACATTCTGAACAACTTTTTCTAGTAACTTTTTTCGATTTCTCTAACGCATCGCAAAATATAGCGAATTGTCCCTATTCGCGAAATCGTAGTAGGATGGGTTTTAATCTGAAATTAGAAATGGGTACCCTAACCAATTAAGCACATGCCGTTCTACCTCTGTACCGAAACTGAAAATCCTACTTCCAAAAATTTGTAAAATACAGGGGTGTTTCCATCTTAAGTGCGACACACTGTATACAGGGTGATTCAAAATTGGCGTCATTCCAGTTGTCTGGTCGTGTTTTAGAAGTACAGAAAAAATAGCTTTAAAAAATTATTGTTATTTAAAACTAAGAAATTTGCAAAAATTGTAATTTCGCAAAGATCGTAATTTTTCTTTTTGAATGCTTAAGTATTCCAATCTCCAAGTTACCAATTAAACATGGAACAATTTCAAAATAATGCTTAATAACAAAGTTGAAATTCGATCTTTAACTGTTAATATC